CCGGGACTACAGGTGCCTACCACAATGCTGAGCTATTTTTTGGCCTGGGCTGGATTTGAACTCACCAGCTTCGGTGTATGTGGCTGGCACCTTAGTTACCTGAGCTACAGGCACTGAGCCCCAGATTTCTTGATGTCACTACCTGAGGGCAAAAGTAAGACCCTCTTTGAAAATTAACTAATGTAGTGAATTATTCACAGAACAGTTGAGGTTATTTCTGGGGGGAAAGCCAAGCAATTGCCCGTAAGTGTGTGCCTGAAGTGTTTGGTATCTGTCCAGCTGCCTCCAGTCCAGTGACCTGGGAGGCAGGGCTGGAATGTAACTGCAGCTCAGTACTGGAACTTAATTGTTTCCTTCCATTTGGAGACAGATTGCATGAAGCAGAAGGACTTGCACACAATGCACACACAGTCCGGGGCTCCAGGAGAGAGGGTGCCTCAGACATGTGGACTCTCTGGTTTAGGGTTTTCCTGGGGTAGCCATGCCCAGAGTGGGGGGGGGGGGGCACCCTGGGTTTTCTTGACTGATGACCCTGAAGTTCACTCTTGCTAAGGAAGTTTCTGGCAGGGTGGTTCCCATGTAATTTGCCCACAGGGAGAAAGAGTTCTCGTGCAGCTGCTCCTGAGTATTCCATCCACTGGTGTGACATTAGAAGGCCCAACTGAGTGGATTCTCAGGTGATATGATGCAGGTAGGCAGTGGGAAGTGAAGGGGACACCAGACTGCCTGGGAAATCTGTCTCATCCCCACCACTAGACTCTGTGCCTTCTGTGGAGCTTGGCTTGTCACCGAAGTTAGGGGAGTAGGATCCAGTAATATGAGGAGGAAGAGAGACAGCAAATGATGATTCACCATGGTGAGTTGAGGTGCTAGTGGTTGTGTTTAGTTTTTATTTACTTGTTGTGCTGACACAGTGACAAATACTCTTCTGGGTGCTTCATCCCAAATTGTCTCACTTGGTTTTCCCATAAGTCTGTGTGAGGAAGGCAATCTCGTTGTTTTTTTTTTATTAAATCATAGCTGTGTACATTAATGCAATCATGGAAGGCAATCGTGTTTCATTTGATAGTTGAGAAATCGAAGGCATAGAGAAGTTGAATGACTTCAGCACCCTCAGCTACTAACTGGCAATTGGAATCAGCCCTTTTGGATTCAAACCACATTGTCCTTCTAAATGTATCAGTAATATTTCCTTGGGGTTATGGGATACAATGGTAGCCTTAGAGAATGTAACCTATGTCAAACGTGGCATCTGTGCTTAAAGGATCACACAGCATCAGAGCTGAGAGAGATGTCGGGAATTGTCCTCATTTCATAGAGGAGTTTTGGCCAGACATAGGGGAGATGAGGACGGGGTGGAAGAGAAGGAAAGGAAGAGGTGCTTGAGCACGTGTCCTAAAGACAGGGCCACAGGTGTGGTCAGTGAGTGGGCAGGAGCCGAGACGCAGAGAGAAGGATGAGTCGGAGTGAGCGTTGGTGGTGACACCGGCGACTAAAACCAGGAGGGTCAGACAGGGAGCCAGGGGTGAAAAGAAGGCAAATTTGCTTCTGAAGATTGAACTTGAAGAACTGGAAACTCCAACTGAAAATTCCAAGACCCGAGAAGAGAAGGCCTATCCCAGAATCTGTGAAACAAGATCTCAGAGGAGCACCACGGGGAGACCCAGACAGTCACAGGGGGGCTCTGTCACTCTTATCAGTCACTTAGGTGAAGGCAGAGGAGGGACGTTTGTCACATCTGAGGCCCATGCAAAGCTAAAGGCCACAGCTGTCAGAACCAATAGACAAAATAATCAAAAAGAAGAAAAGAAACGACTATGACAGAAGGGACCACTGTAATCCTCTGTTCATGGTCAGAAAATCAATTGCACAACTACAGAATGAATAACAACAGTAATGATAATAATAACTACTATTTTTAGGATCCAATAATTACTATATGCTAGAATCGCCATGTGTCAGTTGCCTCACAAAACAATTTATTTAATCCTTACGATAGCCCTACCACATGGGTACTATGATAGTCTTTCTGGTACAGGTGAAGAAAGAGGACCAGGAAGACTAAATACTCTTGCCTGAAATCACACAAATCTTGCTTTGTCTGACTAAAAAAATAACATGTTCTTTAATAAAATAAGAATTAAAGAGACCTGACTTGACCACACTTGTGTCAAAGACTTTTTCTAGTTGAAAAATATACAGCATAAATGGTAAGTCAATCAGGAGGTTATGTAAATTTTCAAGTTTCCTTTTACAATTAGGATGTGTTGAAAATGTCACCTAGAAAGGTGTGAAGTTTTTATGATCCTAGGAATGTTCATGTGGAAGGATTGAGAACTCAGGGCTCCGCTGGGTTTGGGGTGGTATTATTACCTTATAAAGTTAAAGGAAGTTCATGGCTAAGAATTAGATGAAAGGCCCTAAGAGCTATGAACTACTAACAGAGAAGCCTACTTCCTGCAGTGCCCCCCAGAAGCAAAAAGGTGAGACCCTGTGCTCACACATGTGCTCTGTGCCACACACCACGTAGCCACCTCATCTGTCATAATTCTTCTACAGCAGAAAGTGCCTGGGTGTTTACCCATCCCCAGCTGTGCCCATCTGGGAACTTTGCCCTTCTCCTTCATTTTGAGAATTTCTTGTGTCCTTCCAGTCCTGCTGGCCCCCCTTCCCTTGACTAACTCTGCTTTTCCTCTCCTCCTGGTCATTCCTTCTCCCTCCATTCTCTTTTCAGCCCTGGGGACAGACGCCCTGGATTATCCCTTTCAGCCCCCTCATGGGCACTCACTGTCTTCCTATTTTTGTGGCTAAGAATTTGAGCACATTCTCCTCTAAGTTTTGATAAGCCTAAGCATATAAACATAACTCTCCACTCACGCTGTCATCTGGTGCCAAATAATTACTAACTTTCTGTATTGGTGTTACCCAGTCAGGACAGAGGACACATCTCACAGGGGGCAAGAATTTCATCTATGGATTCCTCACCATCCCATCTAATTGCAGAAAAGATTTCAGATCTTTTCTGAAATGTGCTTGGAGGCCCTTGTGTTTACAATTTCATTTCTTTGACAAGTTCCACGTCGACAGTGCATGTTTCAACAAAACAGGCCATTTCTGTAAAGACAACTGAGTGACCGAGTGAAAAAAAAGAAACAGTTACTTTTCTCTGAGCGATTGAGTGCAGTGTATGATTATCCACAGTATAATTTGGGTTTTCTATCCTATAATCTAGGGTTGTATATTACCTATCAACTACTCTGTGATCAAGCTGGACTTTGTCCCAAAGGGAGGAAATCATAAAATGATTTAAATTCTATTACTTTTATTTAAGTTCCTACCTGGATTCCCTGAAAGAGGTTTTAGGGTTTTACAGACCTCTAGATTATGGAAACTGCCTAAAAAGAACATTTGGGGCCCTCTTGCTCTTTAAGAGGGGCCCTGATATGGCCTTGTTGGTTTCTTTGCCATATCTTCCCCACCTCTCCCTTCCTTTCCCTTCTCACTGCTGCACCCAAAGTCCAGGCCCACAACTCGAGATGCTGGGGTTCCTTAAGTGTCTGTGCCTCTAGCCCCAGTACCCCTGCCTCCAGTTTCCCAGCCCCTCAGATCCACCCTGCTCACCTCCCTCCCTTCAGCCCACTGCCATGACAGCTCTAACCGCACAACCTGTTCTCCCACTCCCTACGGTTAGACACTCACTGCCCTTTGCAGTCTGGCCCCACCCAATGTGACCTTCTGGGTCCACACGCCCCACTCCACAAGCCTCTGTTGGGCAGAAAAGTCTCCTCACCACCCTACAAGTGGACGGTACTTGTGTCGAGCTCTGAGTGCCAGCTTCTGTATTTCATCCTTCCCAGCACATAACACATTTTCCTCCAATTCTAAGGCTCCTTTTGTGATCTCCATGGACCCTCTCCCATCTTCTCCAGCTCTCTTCTAATACTCATCCAGCCACCCTCAGCTCCCATTGTTTCACTCCCTCTCCCCTTGAGGGTCTAGCCACTTGAGACCAGCGGCAAGACAGAGGTGCCTTCCTTTGAGACTGTCGGTGCTGGTCCTCCAGCAGCACTGAGCAGCCGGCCCTTGAAATGTCTAGCAGCTGCTGATGCTGCCTGCAGATGCCTGACCAGAAGTTTATTTCAAATTACCTCTTATCAGCACCTGTAGCTGGAAGGCCTGTATTCTGGTGAAGGGCCGTCCCTCTGCCAATTCTGGAGTTCTCTTAAACATTGTCTTGAAAACTCTAATTCTCTAGTTCCTTGTGATTTGTGATTACTTATCTGCTACATGTCACAGAGTCCCATTAAAACCTGAAGTGCCGATATAAGTTGGAATATAAAAAACACTCCTGAATATCTAAAAGTTCCAGTCTCCAAAAGCCGTGATACAGTTACAACGAGATGAAAAGAAGACCTTCAAAAGCATAACCTGGGAGGTTGTCTTTGCCATAGCTCCACGACGCGTGGCCCGTGAGCCACTTGTATCTTATTCTTTCTAAGTGGCTTTTTGTAGACAAGTTTTATACTGCTATGAGGATGTTGGAAAGACAGATATAATATCCCCAATGCACTTGTAATATTGACTCACAAAATGAATGAGACAGTAAAACCACAGTGAATATGAATGATTACAGCGATCCTTAAAGTCAAATAGTAATCTGCAAGAAAATGAGTGAGGACTTGGTTTAGACAAATCCTTTCATAGAAAAATGTGTTGCATTCAGACTCTGAAAGTGGACCTTTAGCAGAATCTGAGTCCTCGATGTTTCAACTATATTGTCTCTCCAGAGCTTTACATTTAATCATGAAGCAAGGCCCACTTCCTTATTCCTGCATATTTCTCTGAAGACTCAATCCACTTCCCTATGGCCAGCTGCCACCCACTGGAAGCTGGCGAAGAAGTCCAGGATTTCGGTATTTCTAAGATCCAGTAAGAGAATTGGGGGTGGGGTGGAGAATAGAGATGAAGAAGGTTAAGTATTCAATGGGGGAAAATCTTACCTCAGCTTCTGACTGGCAGGGACAGTTATTTTATTAAGCTTGTCCATTGTGTTGGGTAACCGTAAGAGGCTGTCCAGTGGTAACATCAGCAGTGCCTGGCCCTCCTAGGGAACAGCATGGTAAGCGTCCGATCTCAAGGGTTCTGGCCACTCAAGTCTGATTCTGAGAGCGCAGGCTGCTGGCAAACACGCCTGCACTAGGGAGAAGTAAAACTTGCCCGAGCACATAGTCAAGTTTCATGTTTCTATGTAGTCATGTGATCTGGGTAGCCAGCCAGCTTGGCGATTACTCCACGTTGTGTAAACCTTAATAGTGAAACCTACTGGGCATGCAAATTTCTTTCCAGCTGCTTTCTTTTATAACCAGATTTGTAACCGGATTGGGACAAGCTTCTGGCAGGTCACTACTTCCTGTTTGTCCCAAATATAGATAATCCCTGTTTTCGGCAGGTGTTATGTGGTCACCTCTAACTTCCTACGCTCAAGGAAAAGCAGAATAATCAATTCTACCTGGATATCTCCTGGAGACTTTTTGCTCATTTCCATAAAGTCATGGATAAGTTCTTTCCACTTATAGAACCACTGTATAAAATGGCATTTTTGTTCTGTGTCTCCCTTCACCTCATGTACTTTAGGATAAATAAAAGGGTGGCAGAGACACAATGGTTAACAATTTACTCAGAGAGCTGAGTCTTTCTTTTCCTGGAGCTCTATTGAAAATAGGATGGGCAATTTTCTGAGATCATTTGGGGGTGACCTGGTGTTATAGCCAAAGCAAGTGGAGAAATGCCAGCACCCTGAGTCCAAATTAAGCAAGGGCCCTTTATTGATTGGCCAGGCCGAGAGTAGACTTATGCCTCAAAGTCTCTTGATCCCCAGAAGTAGGGGGTGGAAACCTTTTATAAGATGCTTTCAGTAGGGGAGGGAGAGTCCTTAACACAAGCCAGGTTTTATAAGAGCCAACACCTGCAAAATTAGATCTAAAGGGTGAGGGGAGTGCTTAGAAGGGAGAACTGTGGTTTCACAGGTTTTTGCAGTTTTTGCTAAACTCTACAGCTTTCAGCTGAGCTTTCTGTTGTTGAAAGCCCTTAGCAAAGTCCTCAGTCTGGCTCTATGAACAAGATGGAGTTAGGGCATTCCACTGGGAAAGGGAGATGCTCGCCATCATAAGATATGTAGCCCCCTTATTGGCTAAGAGAGTCGGGAGTTACCCTGATGGCAGTCAGATGCTTTCAAACCAAACCGGGATGTACTCAAAAGCCAGGCAAGAACAAATCTATCAATTTTCTAACGAGGAAATTCTGACATCAGGCCATTCTGATGTCAGGCAACACTGCCCAAATCATAGAGCTACTGCTGTCCCTGTCTTTGTCCCCACCTGCCCTTATCCAATGCTCACGTCATCCCCTCATCAGACCCAGTGACACACTAAAAGACATCTCAAACACAGGTAGGTCAGGAGAGACCAGGAGGAGGGCACCACACCTGCAGGGGCTGAACCCATCCAGAGAGCTCGACTTCTCTCCTAGAAGACTCTCCATTTCCTTCTATCTGATCTGAAAAACACTGACTTATCAGGGTTAGAGAAGGAAGGCAGTTTAGGGTCAGGGAGGAAAAAAAGGAAAGGGACCACTCCGTTAGTGCCTAGACACACTTCCCTGCAGCCTGCAGGAATGCCCTGATTGTGAAGTACACATTTCCCACATGTATCAAGGGACCAGGCCTCTCCTGGGGTCTGGAGAATACACAAAGAGACATAGCAGAGGGCTCCCTGTTACCTCTCCTGTTGCAGACCTAAGGTCTGGCTGAAGACAGAGGAGAAAGGAGAGAAGTCAGAAAAGTGGTCCCGGAGGAGGGTTGCAATGGTAGAAGCAGAAACCATAGATGGATCTTCTTTTTCCCTCTTGCGCCTTTTCTTTGTACAAATAGAAGCTCTGTGTTTCTGCAGGGAACATTGCTTATTCACATACGCGTACTGCCTCTGAGTTTCTGGTATCAACAGATAGATCAGGAGCCGCACCTTCAGAGCTATTAAAGGGAATTGCTCTTGTGCTTAGCCAGGCCCACAAGACAGGAACAGTCCTAGCGCTGGCCCCCCTCATTGTTTGCTTTCCCCAATCTAGCAGCTCCGTTTTTGTTTTTATTTTGGTTTTGGGGGGGGTTTGCAGCATATCCTGAAGAAGCCCAAGATCCCACTCCTTCCTGTCCCTCCTCTTTTAGCTCCTAACTGAAAGAAACACAGCAGGATGGTAAAGACACATAGGATCTCACCAAAGATCAGAAAAATCAGGCTTTACTGAATACAACGACAACAGCTCATTCTTTCTGAATTACTGTTAGTGCATCCATCTGCCGCTTGACTTTTCTCCCCACCGACAACCCGGCTGAGCACCTGGGCTGACAAGTTTTTATTTCCCCTGAGAAAAAGGCCCAGGGGCAAGGGTTACACTTCTGCTTTTTCTTTTTACAGCCACTTGTCTTTCTTCTTTTTACTGTATTTAGTCTGACAAAAATGAGAGACCACTTCTCCAGACTGGACATCGTGCCCCATGGTGTACACGTGGTGTGTAGCGTGACGGCCTAACGTTCCAGGCAGCCACAACTGCTCTTCCAGGAGGGCAATGCAAGGCAGGGAACTGAGGATACCAAGTCTGAGCTGATGACTTGTGAAAGGAATGAGACCACACAACATGGTTCCACAGCACATACACAGCAACGTGCCACCATACATGGCACAGTGCAATGGAAATTAATCACTAGATGAACAGATGAGAAATGGACAATCCCAACCTTAAAGATAATTTGGAGTGCATATACACTGACAATAAAAGTATAAGGTGCAGTCACTTTGGAAACAGTTTGGTATTATCTAGTACATTTCTTTTGTTCTGTTTTTGAGACAGTCTTACTTTGTTGCCCTCAGTAGAGTCTGTGGCATCACAGCTCACAGCAACCTCAAACTCTCGGGCTAAAGCGATTCTCTTACTTGAGCCTCTGGGGTAACTGAGACTACAGGCACCTGCCGCAACACCCAGCTATTTTTAGAGGCAGGGTCTCGCTCTTGCTCAGGCTGGTCTCGAACCTGTGAGCTCAGGTAATCCACCCACCTTGGCCTCCCAGAGGGCTGGGATTACAGGCATGAGCCACTGTGCCCAGCCTGCTAGTTATATTTGATGACAGGTGGACCGAGGATATAGTACAGGTCGTGTATGTGGCTGAGCACTCATTAACCTTGTGTATCAACGTCATGTGCTAGAATTTTCGCTGCAGCACGCTTTCTAGTAGGAAAAACAAACAAACAAAAAGCCCTGGAAAAAACTCAATTGTCCATCAGGAGGAGAATGAATAAGTTACTTAGTCAACACTGAATATAAGTGAACTCCAATTGTATCAGTATGGATCTATACCAATTTAAGCTAACCAAAGAAGCTATATGATATGATTCCTTTTATAGTAAAGTTAAGGACAGGTAAAACTAAATCGTACATTTTTTAGGATGCATACGTTCATGGTGAAACCCAGGAAATGACAAAAGTAAAATCTAGGTGAAAGATGAATTAAGAATGGGATTGGAGTGAAGGGGCCCTGATGGCTGCCCAGCAATGATAATATCCTGTTTCTTAAGTTGAATAGTGTGTAGAAATGACCATTTTATTGTTATCTTTCTATGTTATACATGCTATAGACATTCAATATTTAACAAATATTTTTTTAAACATCTGTTCTAGAATTATGGGGCAATTTAGATAGCGTGTCTAAATCTAAGTCAGCTCTGTGAGCTGATGGGTCCTAAGAACAAGAAGACAGATTATACTGGAGCTCAGGGAGGGAACCCTTCCTGCCCTGGTTTCTCTGGGGCTCCTTTCCCTGCATCTGTAGATGACAACTACAGCAACATGCTTACTGCAAGCCTGCTGTGTTTCCTGTACTATGAGGGCATCATTTTACATGTGAAGAAAGTGATTCTTTGAGAGGCTAAGTAACTGTTTCAAAGTCATACCACTCATCAGTAGAAGCGCGGCACTGGAGTTTAAATCCCAGTTTGTTTCCACAGTCAAAGCTGCTGATGGCGGTGTGCTGCCATTGCCAGAGGGATCTTCTGAAGTGATTCTGCAAAGAGCCCTGCCCTGTTTGTTTTGTTAAGGCACCAACTGAACTATGATCTAGGGCAATTCCTCAGTCTCTGTGATCTCAGCTTCTTACCTTTGGAATCGGCACACTGCCTGTGTGCACAGAAATGGATCAGCACCAGTAATAACATTCTCACAATTTCCAGAAGAGGAGTCCCTTTGTTAGACTGCTTCCCCAGAGGCACTGGGTGGCTGTGGCCATTCACAGGGCCTTGCAGATAGTCCAGGTCCTCACCGAACTGGATCAGCCACAATTCACCCTATCTGCTCTGCCATCCACCTGCCGATTGTTTATCCCCTGCCAGGAATGATTTAGGCAAACTGCCAAAGGAAGGAGCGAGGTGTGATGCTGGTACTATGCAAAGGCATAGCCTGCTTCTATGATGATCAGCCTCCCAACAACTCTATGGGGAGGTGCTATGACCATTCCTATTTCATGATGTGGAATCTGAGCCTCAGGAAGGTCACAAGACCTAATCTCCCTAACCCCTGAGCTAGGGCCTTGAGCCCCCAAACCATTCACTTTCTTTTCCTTTCTCATGCTGGCCCCTTTCTTGGGGATGGGTTTGGGGGTGCATCCTGTAGCAGTGGAGCCCAGGCAGCTTTCTGTCACATGCAGGACAAAGTAACAGGAACTTGCCATTGGTTGGGCCCATGCCTTGTTCCCTCAGCGAGGACCTATTGAGGGCCCAGCGGGAAGAGGGTTTGGGAGGAAGCTAAGGAGCCTCAGTAAGCCCGTGGAGGAAAACAGCAGAAGAGGCCAGGGAAAGGCAAACACAGAAAAGGAAGTGTGGCAGATGCTGGTAGCAGTTTGTTCTCCTTTGTGGGAGGAGGTGCAGGAGAGGAGAAAGAAGGAAGAAGAGAAGACATCTGTAGCCTGAGCAACTGGGCCAAGGCCTCACTTTCTGTGAGACACATCAGTTCCCTATTCTATCTGTTCAGTAAACTCAATATTCTGCACGTCACACTAGACCAGTGAGGCATTTGTTTGACTAGGAGAATGGCTCAGGCAAAAACAGCCTTCACTCATTGCATCAGTACAAGCCACTGTCAGCAAGAACATTACAATAGCCTAACGATGGTATGGACAACTCTGG